CCTGCCGTGGCAAGACTTGTAGCACCAAACTCTGGGCCAAAGGAGAGCCAAGGGCTGAGAACATGCTAGGGCATAGGTGTAGGGGCAGTTGCTCAAGTGCTGGGTTTGGATGCATTTTCTTTGAATTAGAGAGGGGACCAAACCCAAGGATCTTGGTGCCTTGAAATGCTGCAGCTTGTGCCCACTGCTGACTTGGAACTTAATCTAGACCCCTCCCTGCACCTGCCCAAACCCAGCTGATTCCAGTGGGGCACATGCTGCACAGGGATCCTGTCCAAGGAGCTTGTTGTAGCACTGGGAGGTTGGTGTTTAAGTTCAGGGTATGTCCATAGATCTACTGGAAACCATGGCTGCCCTTCAGCCTGGTGTTTAGCTCTGCAGCTCCCATTAACGTCACTGGAGCTAAATCCTTGTATGCAGTTTTGGAAATATTACCCTAGTGCATCAGCACAGTGTTGGAGCTTAGACAAGTATGCTGTCTTCCCCTCCAGGTGCTCAACCTGTTCTTGGCTTTGCTGTTGAGCTCCTTCAGCGCAGACAACTTAGCTGCAACAGATGATGATGGGGAGATGAACAATCTGCAGATTTCGGTCATCCGCATCAAGAAGGGCATTGCCTGGACGAAGATCAAAGTGCATGAATTCATGCAGGCACACTTCAAACAGCGGGAGGCAGATGAAGTGAAGCCCTTGGATGAGCTGTATGACAAGAAGGTGAACTGCATTGCTAACCACATGGGGGCCGATATCAACAGGGACATTGATTATCAGAAGAATGGCAATGGCACCACCAGTGGGATTGGGAGTAGTGTGGAGAAATACATCATCGATGAAGATCACATGTCCTTCATCAACAATCCCAATCTCACTGTCAGGGTGCCCATTGCTGTGGGCGAGTCGGATTTTGAAAACCTCAACACTGAAGATTTCAGCAGCGATACGGATCCTGATGGCAGCAAAGAGGTAGATGAAATGCTTAAACCTTGTTCTAGCCACTTGCCTGTTTCACAGGAGCAGATGACCACTGTAGGGCAGCAAACGCTGCAAGGGAAGGAAGGACGGGCTCGTGGCTGCATGCCTCTGAGCCTCAGTCGTTAACCAGGAATCCCAGCATGCTGAGTGCTATACAGACAGTGCAGACGCACAATCCATGCCCCAGCAAGCTTACAATCCAAACATAAGACCCAAGGCAATAAGTGGATAAGCCTGTGTGCCTGAGCTACAGGCATTTTTGCCTGACTGTGAGCAAGGCTCTTCATTTATTGTTATGTCTAGAGCTTCATTTAAGCTGGAAACGGTAGAAGGCAGTCCCTGTGTTGGGCAGCTTGCTGGCTTTTATCAGTACTGCACCCTCTTTCCAGCACTTAGATTAAGATAGCCCAAATTCCTGTACACAATGAACAACGTATACTTTAAGGGGAGGGGGGAGGGTGATGGAGGGGAAAGAGGCTTACTACATGTCACTTGCTCAGCTGTAACTGTTTTGTATGCCCACTCTCTCCCTTGATCACTCTGTAGTAATTGAAGAGTTGTTTTTTTTCCAGATAAACTGCCCACACTTAGCTTCTACTTACCATAGATTGGGTTCTCTACCTGTGCTAAAATCTTTAAGGCTTTTAATAAGATAATCAATGACTAAATATTTGGTTCAGAATGCAGAACACGCAGCAGCAAGCTCGCTGGGACCATCATGAGGATGGGGATAGTGTTAATGTAATCGCTATGCAACTGCATCCTATATAGAGCTACTTTTAAGGTCCGTCCTTGAGTTTATCAATTGTGGTGATTGGTGGGGTTGTATTGTGTGTTCAAGAAACTGGATGACACCAGCTCCTCTGAAGGAAGCACCATTGATATAAAGCCAGAGGTGGAAGAAGTCCCTGTGGAGGTACCAGAGGAATATCTGGACCCAGACCCATGCTTCACAGAAGGTGAGCCTGTGTGGAGATGAGCCTTTGAAATGGTGTTGGGACCTGTTTCTCAGATACTACAGTGATAGTCATTAGGGTTACAAATTGGGAAGTGGGTGGTAGCTTCATTTGAACTGAAATGTAGTAAATTTTAAATTCCAGAGGAGCAGAGTCATTCTTAGGGAATTAGAAATTGGCTAAAAGAAAGAAAGCAAAGAATGAGTATAAATGGTCAGTTTTCAGGTTGGGAAGAAGTAAGCAGCAGGGGCCCCCAGGGATCTGTATTGGGATTGGTGCTATTTAACACATGCATAAATGATCTGGAAAAGGGGGTGAGTAACAGGGTGGCCAAATTTGCAGATGACGCAAAATTATTCAAAGTGGTAAAGATCAAAGTGGACTGCAAAGAACTACAGAAGGATCTGGTGTGATTGAGTGGGCAACTAAATAGTGGGTGAAATTCAAGGTAGAAAAGTGTAAAGCGATACACATGTACAAAAATAACTCAAACTCTACCTACACTATGATGGGCTGTACGTTAGCTGTTACCACAAAAGAAAGATCCGGGAGTCATTGTGGACAGTTGGCTAAAAACATCAGCTCACTGCTCTTCAGCTGTTAAAAAGGCCAACAAAATACTAGGGATTATTGAGAAGGGAATTGTTAACAAAGCTGAAAGTATCATGATGCCCCTTTAAAAATCCACACTGCGTCCACATCTTGAATACTGTGCCCAGTTCTGGTTCCCACACCTCAAAAAGGATCTAGGAGAACAAGTGAAGGTCTGGAGAAGGGCAGTAAGGATGATTAATGGTATGGAGGGGCCTCCATGTGAGGAGAGACTAACAAGGCCAGACCTGTTCAGTTTAGAAAGAGATGCTTCAGCGGAACACGAGAGTACAAAATGCTAAATGGTGAGGAGAAAGTAACCAGGGATTTGTTATTTTACTCTCTCCCAGTACAAGAACTAGGGGTCACAAAATGAAACTAGCAGGTAGTATCTTTAAAACTAAGAAAAGGAAGTTCTTTTTCACACAATGAGTAATTTAAAATGTGGAATTCGTTGCCACCAGATGTTGTGGGAGTTGACCATTTAGCCAGATTGAGAAAGACATTGGGCACATTCTTGGAGGAAAGGGGCAGCAGTGGCTACTCAGTACAGGAATTATAACTTCCTAGACTTTAAATGCTGGAGGCTGCAAGTGAGAGAGGAGTAGTGGAAAAAACCCTGGTTAGACCCAGCTCACTCTACCTTTTTAACATCTGCTCTCTGCTTCTGTGACATGGGAGACTGGGCAAGATGGACGTAGTCTGACCCAGTAAATGGCAATTCTTATGTTCTTAATTTTTATGTTCTTAGGTTGTTTCAAGCGCTTTACGTGTTGTCAAGTGAATATTGAAGAAGGGCTGGGCAAGTCCTGGTGGACCTTGAGGAAGACCTGCTTTCTGATCGTGGAACACAACTGGTTTGAGACTTTCATCATCTTCATGATCCTGCTGAGCAGTGGAGCCCTAGTAAGTGGGCTCTGGGAGTGTAGGGAAACCAAGACTTAGTTGCCTTATGAGCAAGCTGTTTCTAGGAAGTCTCTCTGCACCCATGCTTCTGGAGGCTAAAGGGTTCTGCCTGCTCCTGGAGAAAGACCTCATCTCAGCTTTTCCCAAGTATTTGAGGATCAGCAGATGTGGCAAGCAAACATATGCAGCCCATTTAAATTAGAAATGTTAGTAAGATGGAAACCCTGCATTTTTCTTCTTGCCTCTGGACCCTAAAGTTAGAATATTTGCAAGGGCTTGAAAAATGCAACAAGGACTAGATTTTTTTTTTTTCAAAAAGCCCATCTCCTGTTCGGGTACCAAAATAAATGGACAGAGTTTCAAAGAGCTTCTCATGTAAAGTGAGTGTTGAGTGCAGAGCTTTGAAAATTTCACTGCAAGCATCATGGTGTGAAATGCCTCTTTAAAAGCTGTCCCTTGTATTTAGATATGGAGTGGAGCTCTTTGAAAATCTGGCTTTGTGGGTGTGTCTAGTCTGGAATTTTTGCACCAGAGTAGCTGAATCACTGCAGGCTTTTACGGCAAAGATGCTGCACTCACGTAGAAAAATGACTTCCACTAGTGCAGCTCCCCTTAGTTTAAATCAGCTTCTGGTTTACTGCGTATCCCATTGCAAAGTCTAATGTAATAACAAGGGTACCTGATCATTTCCCAGGCATTTGAGGATATTTACATAGAGCAAAGAAAAACCATTCGAACGATTCTGGAGTATGCAGACAAGGTCTTCACCTACATTTTTATCCTGGAAATGTTGCTGAAATGGTGTGCCTATGGATTCGTCAAGTTTTTTACCAATGCCTGGTGCTGGCTGGATTTCCTCATTGTGGCTGTATGTATTCCATTCTTCTTAATTTTAGTGGGGAAACATATCACTTGGAAGTATGTAGGGTTAAGGGTAACATTGTGCTCATGTTAATTAGATGCTCTGTTTTATGATTAACTTGAATCAGTTGCATGTTTATAATTCTCCATAACCAGAGAAAGGATAGGACTGTCCAGCCAGCTGGAGGTGCTGGGGAATGTCCTGCGCACCTGCAGAATTCTGGCCCCGAGCTCTTCATGTGCAATGGAAGAGTTTCCATCCTCTGGCTCTTGCTGAGCATTTCTGAAGAACCTATATGGTGAAGCTGTAGAAAAGATTGAGGAAAATGTTTAAAAAAAAAACCCCAACAAAACCAAACCCAGAAACCCCTTTGCTATGAATGAATGTAGTTTTTTCCTAGCTCCACACCAGCCAGAATAATGTCATTTGTTTCAATGTAGTTTGTATGAGAGGTTAGACATGGGAGAGCGTGGGGCAGGTGGAGTCTTTCAGTGCCACCGCTTGGCAACATCCCCGTAGTGCTGCATGTTCTGAAAGATGGGTGCCCAGGCCAGTGGATCTGTTGAAAGGTTTGTAGAACTCCAAGTGCTTCCAGTTTAAGTAAAGACAAAGACTGATCAGGCAAAACAAAGTCTGACTTCAGTTCTTGTAAAAGAGGTGCTCCGGTTCCCAGACAAAAGGTTTGAGCCATGTCTGCACATGCAGACAGCAGCTTAGTAGAAGGAAGGGTGTGAGATGAGTGAAGGAGTGGCCCTCCAGCCTGGATGAACCAGCATTCAGACCTGCCTGAGAGTGCAAATGAGACAAATAGATTGATGGATGGCAGGAGAAAAATGTTAGCGAGAAAACTAAACCTGTTTTTTAAAAACAGCAAAGGCAGTTTGACCCGGCTGACTAACATTGCAAAGTACGTAAGTGGCTCAAAGAAAATCAATACGACTTGTTTTTAAGAGCTGAAATCACTTTAGAAAATGTGACTTAAGGTTTCTGAAGGGCTTCTGAAAAATTGATATGCTTTTCAAACTTTCCATTATGAGTTTGTGGGCTAGAGAAGGCCTCAAAGGTCCTGTGACACCAGCTAATGAGACTGATAGAATAATAAGAGAGACTTTTTCTCTGCCTCCTGCTGGGGGAGGGAAATTCTGAACAGGATTTACCTGTGCTGAGATGCGGTATGGTGACAACACCGTACAGTCTAGAAAGACCTCTGGGTTGACTGAAGATTCTCCCTGCCATTTGGGGTATTGCTAGTGTGAGGTTAGGAGTGGCATCAAATTTATTATTAAAGCTGAATATAATAACAGCCTATTCTCTGTTTTCTGCTCTCCTTGATATCCCTTCTCTAAACACAGATCCTAGACTGACTCTTCTTGCCCAAAAAGCCTATAGCATTCTTTCATTATTGTTATACTGAAGCAGCAGTCTAAACTGAATACTCCATGACCAGACCCTCTGCATTCTCAGCCATTTCCTTCAAAGCAGTCTAAGTGAGATTAAATAAAGTATGTGCAATTTAGTTTTAAAATAAAAACAACCTATAAAAGCTATTCTCATGCCTCACGCTTCTTGGTATGAACTGAATTAGTTTGGGCTAGGAAGAAAGTTCAGTACTTTGCAGTTGGCACATCTACTAGAAGTTTGTTTACTTTTTCCCCGTTCCAGAGTCAAGATATTGGACTTCCCAGTAAGGCAATGGCTTCTATGTATAATGGAGCACAATAATGCAATTGCTATCTCTGAGGAATTAGGTTTTCTGAGTACACAATGGCTTACTGAAGATTCTGGTCTTGCCTGTTACAGTACTTGGGACAGTGGCAGAGCTGTCTGCAAAAATCTGAAGTGTGAGTTTGAGCTGCAAGAAGATACATGACAAGTTCGTGTTAAGCAGCCAAAGCTGAACTAGATTCGACCAAGTGGCTTCTCTCTCTCTCTCTCCCTCTCTCTCCCTTTCCCTCTCTCAGACTAGATCCTTTTAGAATCTCTAAAATGACACAAGCATCCGATTTAGCTGAAGCACCCAGTAGGAATAATAACTAAGGGGGAATAAATGTTTGCATTGTAACAGTACCCTTGAATGTTATTTTTCAGGTTTGCTTAGCCAGATAGCTCTGTTCCTCTGATCCCCAAAGATTGCTGGGTGCATTTATGAAGAGCCTTTTTCTGGATAATAGTAATGATGGCTGCTTGCTTTTCAGTCAAACAGGGTTGTCTTTGGCTCATACCAGTGCCCACCACATTGTGCTGGAATGTCCAGTGAACTGATTGTATAATACTGAAAAATGCCAGAGAAAGTTGAAGTAGCCTTTGTAAGTTCCAGGACTTCTCCGTGTCAGCTCCATACTAAGGAGCAAGGCATTTCTCTAGGGGTGAGACACTTGGAGATCTGGGCTCAGCGAAGCCTGGCTTACATATTGAACTTGCTTAGTGACATGCTGAATGACCACACTGTGAGTTCATTCTAGCTGATCCCAGGTCCAAATGCCCCAGCCTGTACTTGGAAGCTTGGTTCTGAATCCTGATCTGAATTTTGCAGCCCAGCCCAATGCCTGTAGCTTATTAAACTAGAGAGGCAGGGCTCAGGTTTCTTGTATGAGCAACACATGCAGGGGCTGCTCTGCCTTGATGCCATTTCTCACTTCATTCCTTCCTTCTTTCCCCCTAGGCAGTTACAGAATCCTCCTCAAAGTCACTTTACTGCACCCTGCGTTCATCAGTGATTCTCAGGGAAATCTGCAGTGCCAGGTTTGTCTCAGCAGAAGCGACGCTGTCCTCTTGGAAGCTGGTAGCTGGTTTCTGCTTATGTATAGATCTGTTTTTCTGAAGTGAAGTTACTATTCAGTGGGCCTCTTGCCTCGTGCTTATGTCCTGTGCTGACACTGCTTGTACAGCACGGGGAGAGCTGGGTACTGCATCATTAGAGGAATTTGTCCTTCAAATGAGACCTTACAGCAAGGTCTTTTCATCTTGGTTCTAGCATAAGCTAACGGTCTCATCTGAGGTGTTTCTTGAAGATTTAGTGAAGAGTCCCAGTATTCTGAGCAATAGCCCCTATTGATAACAGAGGATAGGTGGGGTAGCAGAGCCAATGGCCTGAATGGCTTTAAATCCCACCAACATCAGGTGGATTGTTGCACGCACGGCTCCTTTTTATAGCCAATTGTATAGGGATCACCTAGAACAAAATCCTTAAAGTCCCCTCTTGCTTTTTCCTGTGAGACACCAGATCATGGCCGAGCATGAAAATGGAAAAATCATGAAATGTAACTGCATGCATGATCAGTAATGTGAGATGGGATCTTCATTCCACAAGTGCCAGCAATCCTCCTCCCTCCGTGGATCTCTGCCCTCGCACACAGTGCAGAGCCTTTCCTCCAACAGATCAGTTCAAAACCTTCTTCACAAACTGCCGTCCGGGCAGTGTTACTGTTCTGGAAATCTGTGGTAGATAAGGGAGTGTGCAAGTCTGTTGCACAGGATGTGTCCCCAAACAGCACAGGATGCAAATCTTTCACAGCCCCCACTTATAAAGCTGTAGAGACTTCTATTCTCTGCACTGAAGGTCAGAAACATGAGTCAAGGCCTGCATCAGCAGCCCGGATCGAAGTGTTCCTGCCTGAATATTGATGCACTGGAAACTGGGTCCTGAGTTTGGTCCCATTTCTGAGGAGACCTGGTCTCCTCCCTGCAGTGCCTTGGTGTCTCTGTGTTTAAGAGGAGGAGAAAAGATTATGGCTAGGAGCAGCATTGTCTCCTAAGGATTAACTAGCTAATGATCGAGAAGGAAAAATTACTGTAGGAGGGCTCGGTCATTTCATTGTTCACTACTATTAAAAAGATATTTTCTAAAGGATTAGAAACTTGTCCTTATTAGCTGTATCTTTCTGGCATGCCACTCACAGGTTTGCAATTAAAAGGACTGATATGGGGCAGGAGGGGATGTTCCTTATCCTCACCCCAGGTGAGTTGGGGGGCAGGGTTTGTGTGTGTGCGTGGGGGGGGGCATTACTTTGCTGTGAATTCCCACTGGATCATGCTTTAAGTGTACACAACTCTTTATGGGCAGATGGCCTCTTGCCTTGCAAGTTTGCAATGTAGGGTCAGCCCTGCAAAAGATCGAGCTGCCCTTAGCACCCACTGATCCAGTAGCTCCTGAGTTGTGTTCTAAGGCATAATAGTTAAAGAAACAAAAGGCACAGCTTTGGGATTAAGGCAGAGGGTAGTAGACTCTGGAGACTTGGGTTGTATCCCCCATCTGTTGGGAACCCACTCTGTGCTCTTAGGGGTATTGCTTCACCTTGCTGTACCTCAGTTTTCCCCAGCTGTGTAGTGGGGAGAATTGTAGTGGCTCTTCCACCGAAGGATTGGGAGGCTCAGTGACATTTGCAAAGCTTACTCCCTTTAAGGGAGGTGCAAGGGAAGTACCAGGAGGTAAACAGGACAGTGTGAGGTTTAAAAGTCATGCCGATTTGGACCTGGGAGCTTTAGAGCCAAGGAGGCTCAGTATTTCATGGGAACAACACGTATGGCACTGTTTGTCTGAGCTGAGCAGGGCAGTTTGTGCAGCGTGTGTATTTACCTGTATTCTTTTTCATAGGTACCTTTAAAATTTGTCTGGCTTAATTTAATGGGAGCTGCTGAGATCCTGCAGGCAGTAAAAGGGCGAGGGTAAGGTTCTTGTCATCCGTTTGGGCTCCTCCTTCTGACAGACCCCTTCTCCGTCTGTGTCTCTGCTCTCTCACTTATTTTACCCTTTGTTTTTTTCTTATGCCTCTCTCAACCACATTATTTCCTTCCAGGTCGTTTCAGTCAAGGGAAGTAGGCAGCTGGTGTCATGTCTTCGGTATTTCTCTTTGGGGGCCCAGGCCAGCAGTCTGGGCTGGGCAATCAGTGGTAGGGGATTAATTCTAACAGTCTGGAACCTTTTTTTTTTTCTTTTCCTTTTCTTTTCTTTTCTGTTTTCTGTGTAGGTCTCTTTAGTCAGCCTTATAGCTAATGCCCTGGGCTACTCGGAACTAGGTGCCATAAAGTCCCTTAGGACACTAAGAGCTTTGAGGCCTTTAAGAGCGTTGTCCCGATTTGAGGGCATGAGGGTAAGATGTCATTAGCAGCTGATCCTTCTGCATGCCTGTGGAGCGGTTTTTTTTAAGCATGCTAGAACTGATCAAATTGGTGGAAAGAAAATTCCAGACGGAATCATGATGCAGCTGCTGACTTGATCACCTCCCTCTGTCAATGTCCCCGTCACCCTGCCCGCTGCTGCACACTCCCCTTTTAAAGAAGGGAGATGCATTAAGCTGCCTCATTACATTAATTACTGGCCCAAACCACATGCCATTCGTAGAATATGTTAACACGTGGCTGTTCTCATTTGGCCTGGCTTTTACCTCTAGCATCCGAGGGGGCTTCTCAGCTGTAACTTTTATCTAGGGAGAATCACCAGGTGCAAAGAAGCTGAATTTGAACCACCACAAATATCTTTTCCCCTAGGTGTTGGCCACAGTGGGAACTGGTGGGGTTTGATTGAAGGAGATCTTAAAGGGCGTGAAAAAACAATCTAATCTGTGCAAATCCATGTGAAGCTGTTTCTCCTTCTTGGGTATCTCAGGCCTTTAGCAACTGCAGGAAGGGAAGGGTGGGGAGCTCAGCTGTTTCAAAAAACTTTTTTGGTTTAATTCCTCTTGTTGCACCTTGTTGTTCTCAATCCAGTCTGGTGGTGACTGGAAGCCTTGTCTGATAATGAAGCTTTCCTTTCCACTCCCTCCCTTTTACCATGCTTCTATGGTCCCCTGTCCTGTCACTGTGAACTTAGCAATGAAGCACAAGCAAAGCATTGAACTTAATGATCTTTCCTGAAATTGTTAGATGGCACCACTGCCTTGGGGATGCCATTGAAATGATTACACTGTTTTGACACTTTACCAGTGATACTTGTTGGTGCTTTTGATCCTTTTGTATTGAAATAACTTTGTACAAAACATGCCAAAACCCTCAAATCTCTCTAGGTCAATGGTACGCTGAACCAATGGATTTTCACCGTTGCTAATAATAATTTAAAGCCATTACAATACAAATCAAGAAAATGTGCAATTGCATTTTAAAAACAATATATAAGAAATGCCGTAAAACAGATGGGAGGAAGATAGTCTAAGTTTACTCCAGGATACATCTGAAGTCACCCCACTGGACTCATTCTAACTTACTCTGGCTTTGTACAAGTGTAACTTAGAGAAGATTAAGGCCCAGGGTGTGCCCTGACTTGTTAAAGGAGTTCTCAAATAGAGCTCTAGGGTGTGACAGAAACTACAGAGTATAAATAAGAATAATACATTGGAAGCAATAGTCTGCCCTGAATATAGCAATGGTACAGGCACTACTGGCTACATACACTAATCTCAGGTCAGCTACAAAACATGGACACACGTAGCTGTGTCAGAAAGCCAATCGAGATCATAAATGTGGAGGTATGATCCCAATGAGATTTATTTCATAAAAATGACTTTCTGCAAATTTCTTTAATGGCACAGTCACAGCACATCACCCTTAAGTGCCAGACGTGTTCATCTGGTCTTCATTGCCAATGTTAGCTTTGTTGTAGTGCAATTATAAATCTATCTCCTAAGCTTATTCAAATAGCTGGAATAGCATTCTGTGGAGTCCTGCCTCTTAATGCCAAATACATTATAAATGAGTTCCTTGCAGTTGGTAATTTTCTCATACAGCAAACTTAATAGTTAAATTTATCCCATGGTTACTTACATACCATGCATTTTCTAAATTGATGGTCTAAGGGATATACAAGCTTTTTCCTTGCGTTTTGACAGGAACCAATTTTACCTTAAGTTTACAATGAGCCAGTAATGTTTTGTGATCAGGGCAAGATACAGGGGAGATGTGACTCCTCTGTTGTTTTCTGCATTTTGCCTCTGATTTGAGAATGACCCCAGGCAACTCGCCAAACCTCTCTGCATGCTGTGAAAGGGGACAATGATACTTAATTCACTAGGTCATGAGAAGTTAAATCAGTATTTGTAAAGTACTTTCAGACTTTATACTTACAGGCATTATACAGTAGAGAGTATTAATATCTTTATCCAGCCTATCTGCTACTGGTAATGTGTTTTCATCTGCCAAAACAGATTAGGGATATTGAGCATGTGTGTGCTTTATCTGAGCCTTTAAACTCACACAAGTCATTCTTTTGCCTTTATTATTCCAGAAAGCAACTAGTCTTTCCAAACTAAAATCCTGACAAAATTGCCCTTGATTTCAATAGTATCAGGATTTTTCCATAGGTGTCTCTAAAGATTTAGTAATTTTAATAGGGTAGAACTTAATTTTAGATTCTGTGCACAGATTCTGGCTAAGAATTAAGATTATATTATTAAGTCTTTAAAAAACCCCAAACAAAACCAAACCAAAATGCACTTTGATTCATCTCTGCAGTCTTCCTGTATGGGCCATGTCGTCTTTGCTGAGCCAATCTGCTGTGTAGTGTCTTTTGAGCTTGTAGGATCCTTAGTCAGACACTAAACTCTGGCCTACCCAGGGTAAAGCCCGATCACAGCAAGTGGCATTTGTTTCAGTGGCACGAGGAGAGAGAGAGAGATCAGGCCCTGTGCGGGAGGACTCTGTCCCACACACACGGGGTACCCGGCACTGCACCCCAGCAGTTCCACTGGCGCATAGGCCAGTAAGATGCTCTGTACGTGCTCTTCCTACAATGGCCTCGTATGGGGCCATATGCTGAGCAGGGGCCCGTGGCTCAGGATAAGTTTGGCGGAACTGATTCACCTGTTGTACAAGATCAACACAAAATGAATGTGCTTGTTGCCATGGGGGCACACATGCTTTTGTTGGTTAAAAGTAATTCTACGCTGTGGTCTAAGGCATGACAGCGCACAGTCAAGGAGCACAGTATGATCATAAAGGACAAGTGATAGCAGAAACTTCCTCAATAATAAACACCACTTAAAAACACATAACCTCATGTTTGACAGTGTTTTGTTTGGATTTGAAATGGTGGAATCAAGAAATCCACACAGTTAAAACTTCAGTTCAGCAGAATTGATGCAAAGCATTTAACTGGAACTGTGCAACTTGGTAACTTTCCAAAAGCTTTTGTTTTGTTTTGTTCTGACTTTGAGAAGCGTGTTGATGCCCTGTAGCTCCAAAACAGTCAGTCTTACCCAACGGCCAGAGATTCGAAATGCCTTTGCAAAGGAAACATTAAATGTAGTTCTTTGCTTTTCTCTCCTCCATAGTAATCTGCATTTTAAAGAGCTTGCTGTGCTCTTAAATTTATTCAGGGAGTATGACAGTAATGCTATGAAACATGCATGCATTTTTGTCAATTGCCAATGCACAGTCTGCACACAAAAGCCATGTTCCCTCTCTCAGATCTTTTGAAAGTTGGCTATGGTTTTAATGAACAATTTAAACAGTGTAAGCTGAATACATTTATTTTGGTAAATGGTTACAGGAAGCAAAACTTTTTCCTGTTTCTGTGACTAGTTGGGGTTTGGAGAGAGGTAGTTAGCTGTGTTAGCCTGGGGTTTGCCAGCATCTGAATAGTCTCAAAGTAAGGTGGGTGATGATCACTGTTACGTGCACCCTTTGCAGCAAAGTGGGACAGTGTGACAAATAGAATGGGAGAGGAGGTTGCATCGAGCCTACATGCAGAGGGTATAAGGCCATTATAATGGCTTATAATGACCATGGGCCATTATAAGGCAGTGCAAAACTGCTGTGCAGTTTGAATCAAACCTTGCAGAGCAGACTACTTGACGCTCAGGCCTGAATCCAGCGCTGCCATTAGCTAGGTAAATAGCACTTACCACCGAGAGTGTGCTGCTCACATGGCATTTCAGACCATTTCATATGGGTGTTAGATTCTTTTCCGTCTAGGGAGGCATGTTAACCCCATGTGAATCACAGAAGATGCCGGAGGAGGCTTCTCCCGCCTTCTATCCTAATAGCCAGGGGTTAGGGAACTTGCCATGGGAGCGGGAGACCCACTCTGGTTCTAGGTCTCCCTCAACCACAAGGCGTTTGACCTGCATCTCCCACTTCCCAGCACAGAGCTCTGAAATGCAGGCCATGGGCCAGGCATTGCCCAAAGCACCCTTCCCCTCCCTTCTTCCTCCCCATTGAGGAGGGTCACTCAACAACCAGGAAGGGAAGATATATGCGGCCAGAAGGAGAGCAAACAAGAGACTCAGTCCAATGGGCAGTGCCCTGGAAGGGAAAGGGCCTTCGGTCCTGGCCTCTGCCCCTGGATGTTTCTGCACATTGCGCTTAATGGTCATGGGTAAAATGGATAGATGCTAATGGGAGAACTGCTGCCCCACTGCAGGCAGGACCGGTAGCCAGAACCCCAAGCCTCTCCTTTCTAGGGCACTGTCTGTCTCACTGAGCCAAGGGTGCAAGTGATTTCAGCCAGGCCTGGCCCATGGCCTGTGTCCCTAGGCTGAAGGGACAGGATGACTTGCATCTTTCATTTATTAGAGGGAACTAATGCAGGAAATCACAAAAGACTGGCTACCTACCAGGCTAGCTGCATTAAGGGCAGGTGCGCGTGTAATGTTCCTGGGCCTGGGTCAGAAGGGAGCTTGGGGAAACGCTGCTCAAATCCTGAAAGATTCGAATTAGAAAACGGTGAAAGACATGCGCTGTGACTGCAAAGCACGCCACTTCCTGCCTTATTTGCTACAGTTCGGAGGAGGGAATATGGCTTTTCTTTCTTCTTGAGCCTGCAAACCTGCATGCTCAGCTCTTTGCCTGAGACGACATGATTGGCCTTGCTTAATCACGACGACAATCTTGGTGTTCACATGGACTCACTGCTTAGTCTCGAGAGAGTGATATTTGGGCCTGATCCTGCTCCCATTGAAGTCAGTGGCTCAGAATTCATTGTCGGCCTCGGTGGGAGCAGGAGGTGGGCTGCAAAGTGATCACAGCCTTGTTTTAAAGTGGGGAATGGCCACAAAGGCACTGGCTGAGACATCCCTCCGAAAGCATGAACAGACCTGGCTCTGAGTAAATTGTAGCTAGTTAGGAGCCCAGAGAGTTTGAGCCCAGCCTCACTCACAAACATTGGTTTTTCCCCTTTGGCAACCAAAATTACTTAAAAATGCTTCTGCCAAAAAAACCAACAGGAAAACAGAAGCAAAGCCAGCAAACTCAGCAGGAGTTTGCCCTGTTTCTTGAATGAACAGGACCTCAGCAGGTGGCTTCTGAGCAGAACTTTGCAACACTTGAAATAAGTTCCCTGCAAACTCTTGCCTGGTGTAAAAGCCACAGGTCTGTCAGTGGCCTGACCTCCTATTCCCCCCCAAAAAACAGCTGTATTGATGCCTGCTGCCTGCTAGTTTCTGTTTTGTACTAAAACTTTTTCCCACCCCTTCCAACGCAGGTGGTTGTCAACGCCCTGGTTGGCGCTATCCCTTCCATTATGAATGTGTTGTTGGTCTGCCTTATCTTCTGGCTGATTTTCAGCATTATGGGGGTTAACCTGTTTGCCGGGAAATACCATTACTGCTTTAACGAAACCTCCGAGGAGCGCTTCGAAATAGAGTTTGTGAACAACAAGACTGACTGTGAAGCACTGATGCCACCCAACTCCACTGAGATCCGATGGAAGAATGTGAAAATTAACTTTGACAATGTTGGGGCAGGATACCTGGCACTTCTACAAGTTGTGAGTTTTGTCGTCTTCACCTCTGTGTTTGCTGTTAGATGCTAGCTCTTCAGTTTGTCTCCATCTGTGGGTTCTTCCTTCTCATCAGGCCCTAGTTCAACACCTGCATTGGCTTCACTGGGCTTTGGGTCAAGTATTTGAGTCCTATATTGTCTTATAAATAGTTTAGTTGTTTTACACTGACTTCTCTCTGGGTGGGGGGGTTCTCATCCCTCACATATACAAAGAGACACCAAGTTCTATTTTTTTATCAGGCAACAGTACAAAAGCCAAACAGAAATTTTCTTATAAATGATTAGTGAAGATAAAGCTTTGTGCTTAGCTTAAGTGAAGCAGGCAGTTTTAAATAACTTATGTATAAAATTACAGCTCCTAAAAAAAAAAGTGAAATTAAGTACTATGTTACAAAAGGAGAGCAAGAGAGTAAATGAGTCCTCTGCTCGGGCAACTATGCACCACAGATCAGATCCTTCCAGTTTCATTTCAAATGACTTCCGTCTAAAGGAGTATGTGCTTTCTTTGCTAGGCTACATTCAAGGGTTGGATGGACATCATGTATGCAGCAGTAGATTCCAGAAAGGTAAAGTATAAGTCTGTAAAAAGCCCTTCCTGAGAATCCCACTTGTTTAATTTTGTTTCTTAACGCCTAGAACTGAAGTCCATTTCATTATTCGTAATGATCTCAATAGGAGATCAAGATGTTTCATTCCCTGCTGTTTCTGTGTTGCTGACTATTTAAGGGTATTGTACAGAACCAAAAGGGATGAGGGTCACCAAGGGAGAGCTCAGCTGGGGTAGCCTGGTAGTGGAAAAGGAATGCAAAGGGAGCAGGGAGAAGACGTGTGGTTTTTTTCATCCAGATGGGACGGGGTGCTCTGACTTCACACGAGTGAAATGCAAGTCAAACAGCAGCAGGAATAAGGAAAAGATTCAAACAGCGTTTGTTTCCACTTCTTGATCAGCCAGTATCTTTTACCTTGATTTTTACTGTGCCAGCATTCATTCTTGCCTTGATTTTTACATTTTCCTCTGTGATTAACAAATCACGTTAAATGTACTTCATAGCTTTTTTGAAATGCCTTTCTCTTCTCTTCCCCCACCCCATCCCCCATTCAGCCAGAAGAGCAACCAAAGTACGAGGACAACATCTACATGTACATCTACTTTGTAATCTTCATCATCTTCGGCTCCTTCTTCACCCTGAATTTGTTCATTGGTGTCATCATTGACAACTTCAATCAACAAAAGAAAAAGATAGGTCACCTTCATTATTGATTAGATAGACAGGCCCAAGCTGACTGTTGGTAGGTTTGTGGAGCTTGAGGCATGAGGCACCCTGCTGTCAAATGGGGAGTTTCCTGCACTGAGCCTCATCTCTTTGGACTTGGATTCCCAAATGGCCTACACACTGCCTTCTCTAGCTAGCCTCCAGTGCCTGTTTAGAAGAAGGGCCTGGACAAGTCTGTTCAGAAAAACAAGGGCCAGCCTGACTCTTCTCTCAAATTGTGAGGTTCAGGAAAGCTGTAGGATCCCACAGCCTTGATTTTCAGGGACTTCTCTGTTTTCTGGTCTTGGTTAGAGCATGAAAGGTTGAAGTTCCTTAAGCAGGTAAAAGTAGGATATGACAGAATCTCTTGCCGCTCTGTCTGAATTTTCCTCCCTACCCTGGCCCTTTCACATACATCCTGAAGCAGGGAGGTTCCTCACATCAGGGTAAATGGTCTTTGTCTTAGTGTTCATAGATGATCTGCAACTCAAGGGATAATAAAGGAGCAAATTTTGTGATTTCTCAATAGAATCATATGTGAGAAGGAAAAGGGGCTAGGGAAACTGTGCAGTTCAGACCAATGCAACACTTGGCTCTAGTGGCAGTTCAGTAACTATTATGTGTTGGTGCAAGGTACCAGCAGCTTCCCATTTGTTGCATGTCGTGAGGGCACAGCCAGGACTGTGATCCCTCTCCCTCAACATGAATGAACTGATTATAACCAGGTTCCTTTCTTCTTTTCTCCCTTTTACTTTGGAGGTCAGGATATCTTCATGACAGAAGAACAGAAGAAATACTACAACGCCATGAAAAAGCTGGGCTCCAAGAAACCTCAGAAACCCATTCCCCGCCCTCTGGTGAGTGTGGGCCTTAAAGCAGTTTGTAGGAACAGTCCTCCAACGTGGGTTTTGAAAGTGTTTAGCCCCCAACAGCACATGTAAGGACTGGTTCTAGACCGCGCTGTTGTGCTTCTGGCATTACATTGCAAACGTCCATCCCTTGACAAAAAGGTGCAGATGGAATCGGAGGAAGAATAAAGTACAGCTGCCATTTTTATCCTGTGTGGTTAGTTCACTTCTACAGAGCAGATACAAAGGAAAGGTCTTGGAGCCACATTAGCATTTGATGTAAATCAGTTTCTGGCTAATTTACAACACTCGAGAAAATGGCCCTTTCTCTTAATCCAGGGTAAGAGCTACAGAACAGATAGGGAATCTGTCTGAGTGGGGTGGGGGCTGCTGCTTCATACGTGAGGTAGCCACCAGTGGTGCAGCTTCTGGGCATTGGGCAGCAGGGTGGAGCTATTCCAGAAGAAGATTGGCACTGGAGACATAGGTGGTATGATGCCAGCCAGTCCATGCAGGTTCCTGATCTGCTACAGACTTCTAGTGTGGCCAGGTCATTCAGAAGCTGTAATGGCAGACACAGCGCCAAGCTAGCATTGCATGAGCTAGTTCAGGTCCCGGGCACCAGTGGTGCCTTGCTGCCAGCATGGAGTGCAGAACAGGCTGCAGAGCTCATTGAGAAGAAAAGGAAATTGCCGTGGCTGCGCTTCTCCCAGCACAAGTTCCCAGAGGAGGTCAGCACTGCCCTGCAGTCAGCATCAGTCCTGTCTAATTGGGGACTAGTGCTGCCCTGCCTCAGACTCTCAGCAAAAGGCATGGATACATTGGGGATGGGATTTTGCAATGCTGGTAACAAATGTTATGCTTTGGGGTATGTTGGTCACCTTCAGAAGCCCAAAATCATCTGGGCTGCTGACAAATGGAAATGTTTTGTAGAGACTGCCTTGAAAGCCTCCCTGGGACTCTGGGCTTGAGAAGGACCAGAAACATCCCATCCATTTTTGTTTTTTTTCAGGTAGCAGGCTCCTCCCTGAACTTTCTGTTTGTTTTCCTACTTCCCTCCATGCCTTCTCTCCCAAAATGCAGAACCGCGTCCAAGGAGCTGTCTTCGACTTCGTCACACAACAAGCGTTTGACATAGTCATCATGATCCTCATTTGTCTCAACATGGTGACCATGATGGTGGAGACAGACACTCAGAGTAAGCAGATGGAAGACATCCTCTCTTGGATCAACCTGGTGTTTGTCATCTTCTTCACCTGTGAGTGCGTGCTGAAGATGTTTGCCTTGCGGCACTATTATTTCACTGTCGGGTGGAATATTTTTGACTTCGTGGTCGTGATTCTGTCCATCGTGGGTAAGTGGAGGAACTGGCAGAGGCTTTTGTGTTGTGACGTTTCTTGGGGTGTGTGGGATAAGGCTGTCCTTGCTAGAAATCGATGGTTACAGGATAGCAGGAGATGGACAGCGGCCTCCCAGTTAAAGGGGAGGACCAGACACCAGAACTCCTGAGTTCTATTGCTGACTCTGTGAGGAGAGCATGGTTTGGTAACTAAAGCCAAAGACTGGGAGTCTAGACGCCTGCCTTTCCTTTTCTCTCACTGTGTGATAGTGGGTAAGTCGCTTCTTTGTGATTTGGTTTTCTGTCTGTAAAACAGCAGCATGGTGGATATCACCAGGATACCTGGAGACCTAATTCCATTAATGCTTACTAACTGCTCAGATGGTCTTTGTAGATGCAGGCAGTCTCAGTTGGCATGGGATGCGTAGCATCGGTTTGGTTTGGAATTAAATCTGGAAATGCTAAGTGGAGCTCAGGAGCCCCTTTCCATCCACTGCTTTTCTTTTAAGGCAAGTGTATAAATTACACAAGGTTTTTCAAGACTGACTAGGCCCAGCTGAGCCCAGGTTTTGGCCTACCTGGGGCAGAGCTTAAAGATTGTCCTGCAGCCAAACCCAGGCCGGATCAGTCTTACAAAATGAATTTTGGAAAGTACTACTGGACAGGCAGCACAGCAGCAGCTGGGTAGGAAGCAGAAAGCAGAGCAGCGGATCAGGCAGGGAGCATAAGGTAGGGAACAAAGCAGAGCAGCAGACTGAGTAGGGGAAGGGGATAAGAACTGCACTCAGGGAGGATGCAGGGCTAATGTGTGACATGCCTGCCAAAAAAGTCCCATCCCACACTGCTTTGAAATATCAAGAAGGGCTGGCAAATGCCACCACTCCCTGTGTCAAGGTGGGCACCTGGAAATAGAGGCCTCATTTGGAAATCTGAGCCAGCATTTCTGTATTGGCCCTTTCTGTATTTCCCACCCTGGCTCTTATATGTTGGGGTTTCCACTTGGCTCCATTGTAACACGTCTACCTTCCCTTCTTCAGGAATGTTCCTGGCTGAAATCATTGAGAAGTACTTTGTATCGCCCACCCTCTTCCGAGTCATCCGCCTGGCCCGCATTGGCCGCATCCTGCGTCTGATCAAAGGGGCCAAGGGGATCCGCACCTTGCTTTTTGCCTTAATGATGTCCTTGCCTGCCTTGTTTAACATTGGTCTCCTGCTGTTCCTGGTCATGTTCATCTTCTCCATCTTCGGCATGTCAAACTTTGCCTACGTCAAGCATGAGGCCGGCATAGACGACATGTTCAACTTTGAGACCTTTGGCAACAGCATGATCTGCTTGTTCCAGATAACCACTTCGGCTGGGTGGGATGGCCTGCTGCTGCCCATTCTGAACCGGCCGCCGGACTGCGACCTGTATAAGGAGCATCCTGGGAGTGGCTTCAAGGGGGACTGTGGAAACCCTTCGGTGGGGATATTTTTCTTTGTCAGCTACATCATCATCTCCTTCCTGATTGTGGTGAACATGTATATTGCAATCATCCTGGAGAATTTCAGTGTAGCTACGGAGGAAAGCGCTGACCCGCTGAGTGAGGATGACTTTGAAACCTTCTATGAGATCTGGGAGAAGTTTGACCCCGATGCCACACAGTTCATAGAGTACTGCAAGCTGGCAGACTTTGCAGATGCTTTGGAGCACCCTCTCCGTGTCCCAAAACCCAACACCATTGAACTCATTGCCATGGACTTGCCTATGGTAAGCGGGGACAGGATCCACTGCCTAGACATCTTGTTTGCCTTCACCAAGCGTGTGCTGGGGGACAGCGGGGAGCTGGACATCTTGAGGCAGCAGATGGAGGAAAGGTTTGTGGCATCCAACCCATCCAAAGTGTCTTACGAGCCCATCACAACCACGCTCCGGCGTAAACAGGAAGACGTCTCAGCAGTGGTTATTCAGAGGGCTTACAGGGTTCGTCTAGCCCGACGGGGCTTTATTAGCAGAAAGCCTGCCTCCACAAAGCTGGAAAATGGAGGAGCGAATCGGGAGAAAAAAGAAGGCACCCCCTCTACGGCCTCCCTCCCATCCTATGACAGTGTCACTAAGCCTGAAAAGGAGAAGCAGCAGAGGGCAGAGGAAGGAAGACGAGAACGAGCGAAAAGGCAAAGAGACGTCAGGGAATCCAAGTGTTGAAATGAACAAAAATAATAAAATTGTACAAATAAAAAAAAAAATTGCAAGTGAAAAGATTGTTTACAAACTTCACAACATATATCGATACAGAACAGCCGTGGAGACACTTACCTGAAGATCTTATACCAAACATAGTCTGCTTACTGTGTGACAACGTTGCATCTAAAGCAGTGACCTACCACCTGTTTAAAGGACCCTTATAAACAAATGTTTAAAAACAAAAAGAGAAAAAAATGGATTTTCTATTGTTTGGGCAGGTGGATACTGCATGTTCCACATCAGTCAGTGCAACTTAGGACAAACAAGCAAAATTAATAAACAGAAAACAAAAACACACACACACAAAAAAAGAAAACCTGCTGCTAGGAGTCATATATTTTCCAAAGCAGCCAAAAATGGATTTTATTTTCTCATTTTGTTGATTATCAAAGGAAAACCCAGAAGTCACAATGTTAAAGGGTTTGTTCATGCAAAACTAGATTTGCATTCCTGCATTTAGTTAAGCAGCAAAAAATGAAAAAAGCAAAACAAACAAACAAAAAGAAACAAAACGGCACCCATTTAGCCCATGCATTCAGTTGTCATAGTTTATTTGGTATTTATTATCTGCATTCTACTTTCTACATGGGCTTCACTTGGTTTGGGAGTTGGGGAAATCGGGTATCTTCAGCCTGGAGACTGCTCAGGCTGATTCCAAAAAAATTGTGCTCGTTCAATGCATAGAAATGATTTGCATGATGGCATGCTGTGACCAGGAATCATGCATGAAGAATCATTAATCCACAAGAAACTCAGTACTCTGTCCACAGCAGTGCGTTAAGCCATAAGTTCAAGGCACTCCACTGACCACCACACACTGTATTTGGAGATTAACCTTAAATAGAATCATGCCCTTCACTGGTATGTACCAATTCTTAACGATCTCTTTCATACACCCGCCAATAGGGAAAAGTGAAATACTGTAAGCAGATGAAGCAATTGTGTGCGTGTATGTTTAACAACCTGTCTTTTCCATACAGCCATCTTCTGCACATTTAAAAAAAATCAACACACAGAACAAAAAAACCTAAATGCTGCTCTGGATCCCATCTGAGGGGAGATGATAGGAAATTCAAGAATGGCTTGTATTACTATGTCACTGTAAAACCAAATCTAGGGCTTAAAAGTACCAACCAATTGATAAGTTCATTTGTACCCTGCAATATTTAGCATTCTTCTTCTTCTTGGTTATTATTATTCAGCCTCCCTACAGCAGCATTGGCACTGTTTTGCATAGAAGTTAATGTGCTATAGGAAATAGCACATTGACTGAAGGTGCAATTTAGGAACTTCTATAAAGCAATCGTACGAAGGGATGGGGAGCACAGCTCGCACAGCAGAGCTGTGGTTCGTGATGTTGGCGTTCTCGCATCCTGCGGGCAGGTGGGCTGAGGTGCAGGCAGGTTGCTGAAACTCTTCTTTTGTTCTTCCATCGATTACTGCTTTTTGCAGCTTGCACTTTTGACGGTTTTCCTTGCTTCCGTGGCCACAAGGTTTTTAACACAATGCAACACGTTACAGTTGACAGTCAACTAGCAACGTGACATGGGGCGCAGTGCTGGGAGTCAGGTGTCAGACATCCTGTGCCTTCGCCTTCTTCCATTTCATACGTTGTCGTACAGTAGTAATCTCAAGGTCCTGCGGGTTGGGTAGGGATTAGAGCTACCTCTTGACTAGTCTGAACTCTGCAGGGGTAAGTCTGTGTGGGAATGTCACAGGGAAAGCTCAAAACTTGGTGTTTCTTAATGATCCAAGACCCTCAAACGTCCCCTGTTTCAATGTGTCCTCCTCGGTCAGTAAACCAGCTGTCAAGTATCACGTGGGTGATATTTCTTCGGGGCAAGCACGTGGAATAGATCTTACCAAGGGGGTAAGGTAACGATGCACCAGAAAGGACAGTTTCATCTGCAGCTTAAATAGGGAAGACAGTCATCTCGGTTACAGTGCCGCTGGGCAGAGGAGGAGGGAGTGGTGATGGTAGCGGGCATTGAATTGGTAGGGTATAATGAAGGAAGTAGGATGTTTGAATGTGGACCAAATAAACGGGATCCATGGAAGTGGAAAAGCTGAGACAGCAGAACAGGTAAATGGCAGGAAGTTCAGTTTGTCTAATCTCACAACCCAGAGAAGTGTCACATAAAAAACCCCAAGCCATTGGAGAGACATCTGTGTCAAGTTGGACTTTCTAAATGCAGTCTAGCCATGCCGATGTCAGTGGAGGAGCTCTACTGTACCTGATAACAGCGAAGAACCATTTCTCTCCTGTTAGATCCTACTCCAGTTACTCCTAGGATATGATGTATAATAAAGATGAAAACTACATACATATGTACAGGCTACATTGTAAACAGCACAAAAATAGCTGAAAAGTGTGGTTGAACTTTTTAAGAGAATATTATAAATACTGTAATATATCACTTTATTTTATCAGCATGCCTTTTTGTAAATACAAAGAATTACAAAAATTAAATAGAATGGCTTCTGGCTTATGCCATTGTCCATGTTTATTTTTATTTTTTTAATATTTTTCCTTTTTTCCTTAGATTTTAGATGTTGTCAGCCAATGTACATCCCACAAAAACAAACGGACCCCACCCCCAAACAGACAAAGCTTTATTGCAAATTATCTTTACAACGACAAAAATAGATCTATTTTTGGTTTCCAATGTGCAATAAGTTCTGACCACTTCTATGCAAGATTTGGCTAAACTTCATAATTGTTCTGAAGCTGGGCTACCAGTCCGTATGTGAAGCTTGGTGCATCTAATGCTCACGCTGGCACTTCCATTAAGCCACTAGAATAATTGGAAGTTAACCTTCCCTACAAGCTAGAGATATTTTTAAATATTGGATCTTTAATACAAACAGAGGCCAGTGGTATCACTGAACAATCAGGCTTGCTGAAAAGAGATGAAGGAATGGTTTCCCCAACTGTTGACTGGCAGAGGAGTCGGCTCTCCTGCTCAAGGGAAAGTTTCACAGTTTCTTTGTTTCTGTTTTTTGTCATTTCCGTTCTGTGGCAGATACGTCCCTCAGGCAGAGGTCACCGGTGCTGAGAAAATGGGTCTGCATTTTTGTTCATCTTCACCGGGTGAAGTTGAGGGAAGGAAGGAAGGAAGCTTTGGTTCAAAATAAGACTTGAGTTTAATATGCAGTCACGGAATAGAAATGCACGCACGATAGCCATTATTATGTTTTGTAGCAATGGCCTCAGTTCAGATACGTGGTACGAGGTGGAAAAAACGACGGCGGGTTCAGGGTTGTGAGAACAAATTAAGTGTGCCGTTGCCAAGTTAAAGCGCATTGCCAAAAGGTTTCGTCTGGAATAAG